TTCCTGACTGTGGTGCAAGTGTATTGATGTGTTCCAGAAAGCAGCGATTTCATAATTCAATCCATAAATGTTCTTGATTACTAAATTACTTCTCATCTGCTGTTCACGGAGTGTTGTGAGTGGCTCTGTTGAGCTGTCTCTCCATGATCTTACACTGTCGCTCAGTGGTGACTGTGTGTATGTGCAGTGATCACAACCACAGCTGAGGACTTGTCCTTACATGTCTGTCTGAGATTATGTCCGGGCATGTACAAGTGATTCATGTAGGAGGGCTCAGTGAGTCACTGGTTGCCCCGTCTGGTTATAAGGAGCTTCCCAGTGACACCAGTCTGAGTTGCTCTGTAATGTTCACAGAGGAAATTTAACTGGTTAGAACAATGGTAAGCCTAATTCTTACTTTTATAATTGAGGCAGCTAATCATAACTTCTGGTTGTTTTGTTTCAACCTGAGCTGGATTTTTGCATAGATTACAAGGACTACTTTCCAGTTAGAATTAGAATGGTGTCAAGATTCAGTTATTTAAGATCACTTGACAGAAAGCAGTGTATCTTTTATCAGTGCTAAATTATATCATCATTATATATCTGTGAATTACAGCCGCAGTGATCTTGATAATTAATTGTTGTAGTTATTTTTCAAGACAAACGCTGTCTTGAAAGCTTTTTAAATGTGAGGATACTTTTCTTTGTCATATATGATTGTAAAGTGAATATCTTGGGGTTAAAGAAAGCTATTTACCTTGGCTGTGGAAAGTTATGACCATTTTCTGATATTATAATGACAATATGTTTAATTGATTAATCAAGGAAATAATTTATACAGGTCACTTATTCAAGAGCTGAGAGCTGCCATCATCACTGCCTCATTGTCCAGCAGCAGGTTTCCAAATTAACCACTGGTGTTTTTTCTGTGTCCTGCAGTGTAGGGTGATGGCTACTACAGAGAGGATCCTGAGCGCCACGGGGAACGGCCCCGTTCAACGGAACCTCTTTGGTCCAATCGACCGAGAGCAGCTGCAGGCGGATTACCAGACTGTCCTGCCCGCTGGAGAGCAGCGACTTCCAGTGGGAGGAGATCCCAGCAACCAGGGTTCCACTGCTTTACAGATCCTGTATGCATGGGCTGGGACACACAGGGGGTCAGAGGGTGACGGAGGCAGCACTTGGCCCTAAGGGAGGAAGGGCGGAGCCAGCACAGAGTGAGCAGAAGAACATCCCACGTACAACAGAGAGATGTGCACTCAACTTGGAGAACCTGGAGAAAACACCAGAGAAAAGTGAGAATACAGGGATGAAGAGGAAACAGACAAACATTACAGGTACATATTTAATAAATATTCTAACTTTAAATGAGTAGCATTGTCATTTCAGGTCAGTCACATGAGCTGAATTTCTCCTTTATCCCGACAGATTTCTATCAGTCTAAAAGAAGAGTAATTGGGATGCCACGCAAATCTGGCGAGTGATTTTCAGTGCAGTTTACGGTAAAGTTTCCAGTATTCAAGGGGAACCACACAGACACTTTGTACAGACTCTGCACATACTCCCCAGAAGGTCTTGTACCTGGTGACTCATCAGAAAACGCATCATTATAATGCGATCAATTAGGGCACTGAGGGGGTTGGCGGTTTTCCCGGCGGTAAGGAGAAGACGTTTGAGTGGAGAAGATTAATGGTAATCTTTGGAAGCAGTGGATTTGTACTCATTTGGATCAAAGGGTTGCCAAAGTGTTACCTGTACATTCTACAGTGCTGAAAATGCAGTGGAACTGTGTGCCTCTTGCATTACGGGGATCAGATGGACAAACACATTACTGCACACACTTGAAACAGATGTGTAGATTAATGTTATTCTCTCATAAAGAAATGTGTCTGTGTCAAAGCTGCAGCGTGATTGACAGTGGTAGAGCACGGATGAAGGCCTTTGGCTCCTTTGTTCAAATCCACTGCTGTTTACCTACAGTGGTTTTTCTTTATGTATATCCTGAGGGTACAAGCACTTCCTGTCCAAAGTGTATTATAAATTATACTTTAATACACCCAGCTGTACAATTGTGTCTTTCTACCATCATGTACTCACAGGAAAACACTTGAAGAGTTCTGATCTGTAGGGTCTGTTGCTTTGCTCAGATCATAAATGACACAAGTGCCATCATGTCCTCGTCTGTCTTCTCGGTGCCGATTGATTTTCAGAGCAGATCTCCCTCCACAAGTGCCCTGTCTAGACTCTGACACATGCACAGCACCAGATAATGTAGGTTAGGAGTGTAGCACCACGCCTTTGGAACATGTATGTTTATTTGGATAGATATCAGTAGAGTTTAATACAACACTCTTAAGTGGCATAATACAAAAATATGTTTTTGTATTGCACATACATGTGATAGGTGGTGTATCCACAACACCCTTTATCCGCCTTTATGGCATTTACACTCCACAAAGGACAAGTACTTACTAAGTGGAAGCTACCGTCGCTGTTCTTTTCTACTCTGAAGCTCTGTGCAATTGAATACACTGTGTGTTTACTGTGTGCCCCAAAACAACTAGTATATGTTTTCATGACACTTGTATCCTGCTGCTATGGGTAATCTGAATGGGTGTCAAACAAGGTCATACAATGATAATCACTGCTGTAAAGTCAGAGCTAAACAAATAACTGCATTACTCCAATCAATGAATGCCCTTCTGTTTATAGCTGCTTGTGCACGTCCTACATAATGTTTAGTGTAAAAGCTATAAGTTAAATTATCTATGCTTATTTATTGTGAGGAAACTTGATATAGTTGTGAAAGATTCCAATAAAATGTTCAAGTGAAATTTTCTGTGGTCTTGTTTCATTGCAGTCTTAATTATGACTTTTGCTCATAAGGTCTGACAGACAAGAACAGCTTCAGTGCACCTTGGCATTGATTCTACAAGTCTCTGGAGTCTATTGGATGGATGAACGCCATTCTTCCAAAAGATATTCCCACATTTACTGTTTTGATTACCTCGACGGAGACGCTGTCTTAACATGTCGCTCTAAAATCTCACGTAGGTTTTCAACTAGGTTGAGGTCTGGTGACTGTTGTTAGGCATTTTTAGTCAGATAGATATTGGATAGATACTTTATGTATAAGAAATGTTTAGTGGAGACAGGATGTCTAGTTAGACTGTTACATGCTTAGGCCTGATTATGAGTTTCTACAGGGTACATCTGGTCAAGGATACCAGAGAGAAGAGTTGATGACTGTCAGCAGACAGGGTGTTTAATATTATTATTATGACGTGTATAACTGTAGCCTTAGCCATAATATGTTCTTATGTTTAAGTCACGACATGTTACTAGAAGTCGTGAGAATGTTTTTAGCTACACACCACTTAACCAACAGACACACACACATTGATTTGCTTCATGTTTTGACTACTGCTATGACCAGCTGCAAAGCTGGCAACAGAGACGTCTCGGTTGACGTTTCTGTGTAGTATGGGGCTAGCCCAACCGAGGGGATATAATGTATAGGCCTGGTGGGTTCAGGGTCTTTTCATCTTACATCTGCCTGCGTGCATGTTGGAGGTGCAAGATATTTGAGCGTGTAATGTTAATTTTACCTGTGATCCTTTGAATAAATCAGCACTGTTTTGAAGTTACTTGGACTGTCTCGTCTTTCAGAGTTAGCAATGGTAACACGAACCATATCCTACACTGTGAAGACCCCTGGTACCCTGTGGGTGGGAGCACTGTCATACTGGAAGGGAAGTATAAAGTTGTATTAATGGAAGTATTCAAGTGAAGTACGTACATGTACTTCTATTCGATAGGTGTCTAATGTTTGAGTAACCAGCTCAGATAGGTTTGCATTCACCACAGTGTATTGGTGGGGATACTGTGGCAGGATGGTGGTACTGGAGAGTTTAATCTTCATTCAAATAATATACAGTACAAATCACTGTGGACCACTTATGTGCAGTATTCTGCTAATAAACAGGTACCATACAACTACTACAGTGCTGGTGTCTCTACTGATTCTTCATCAGCATTAAACATTCATATCTACCTTACGGCTACCTCTCTGACATGATAATAAACAGTGATCAACGTCACTCTCCTCACTGGTCATAAATATGCTATAAAACTGCCAGTTAGGTCTGTTCCATAGCTAAACAGTACAAAGTTGCGCATGGCAACAGCCCTGACTCTAAAAGTAGTTGGTATCTCTGAGTCAGAAGGAAACATTTTGGATTTCAACTGTTAAAGCAACGTTTCCAGAGGTGATGGATCAGCTGATTTTACTCCTCTACACACTGTTTATTGGTTGTGTTGTGTTATTTCCATATATACATTTTCTTTTGAAATTTTTTGGAATGTTTGTTTTGGATCTGAGTTTTACATATTGCACTGGGAGGAGAGTCAGTTTGCATTGGGTAAAGTTTCAGTGCCTGGACTTCGGCCTCATTTTCCCTCTGTCCACACACCAGGCCTTGTGTTGATTTAACTGTCTGTAGTTGAATTTTATTTCAACACATTATAGCCATGGAATATTAAAGGATTTTTGTCTTTGTATCTTGAGATTGTCTTGGATTCTTTCCCTTGTAGGCCTATGTTTTTGTTTTCTTTTTTTTTAGGTTTGTTTTCAAGATGGTGACGAAGGCTTGTTTTCATCTCTGTTTAGTGGGCATCCCTCCACACACACACACACACACACACACACACACACACACACAAGCCGGCACAAAGAAAGAGCTGAAGCTGGGCACATACAATTTTGAGAAGTCCCGAGTAGCTCGAACATTCCTCTGTTGTTGTGACACCACACTATTTTTTACTTTGTGAACAGCAGTAAGAGCAAATTAGAGAGTGAGTCACTGCTCAGACAGACACTATGTACTTTGGCACCACATCAGTGCAGCCCCACATCACCACACACTGGGTGTATGTGTTTGTTTTGAAGGTTTAGGGGCTGAAGGGCCCAGAGCAGACTCTGGCACAGGCCCCTGCTGTGTCCCCTCCCCATATCTCCCCTGCTCTCAGCAGCACAGACGTACCTGCACGCCTGCGCTAAGCTCTCCCATCCCCCCGCCCATTTCCCTGCATCATTTGTCCCTTTGCTCCTTTTATAGGACGGGACAGCTAGCGTTTGCATTTAGACTGAAACAGAGAGATAGGTGGAGAGAACGTGAAACAGAGGGAGGCAGAGGGGCCATATGACACAAAGCACAGAGAGAGAGAGACCAGAGCATTTGAAAGAGGGGGAGGGAGGCTGCAGACATCGATACCGTTAACAATGGAGCATTAGGATCCAGAGAGCTGATAGTCAGCCAGACAACGGCTGAGGGTAAAGACATTTGAGGACGGAGGCTCCTCCTTGGTGAGCGCAGGGGTAGGAGGATGGGCCTCGAAAACAGACTTGCAATGGCACTGCAAAAATTGGATTAAAACAGTATGGTAATGTTTCTAATTTAATTTATTGCTGTGCTGCTTGTGTCTCATGTGTCCGTATCCACGCTTGTTGACATCCATCGGCCGTCTGTCACATCACAGCGTGTCTCCTGCCTTGTGAGGAAGGTACCGGCATAACCTGTCCTCTTGTTTATATGCCATAGACATCTGCCATCTCCGTCCTCATCACAGTCCCGCTTCTCTTCCAACCTCCAGAAGCCTGGATTCATCACGGGACATCACCCTGTGTGCTTTAAAACAAAAAAGACACCGTTAGATTTGAGCATCATTGCAGCCATTACTGTCCTCTGCTGTGTTGTTTTGATCTGTTTGCATCCATCGTTGGACACCGCATCCCCTCCTTGTATGAGCCTTCGCTTAGCTGCTGCATAAGCACCTCACTTTCTCTGAAAAGATCAGGAAATGAGTAACAACAAGGGACTGCAGTCATCTGTTTTCCTCTCCATTACAATGTGATTGTAGCCTACTTTGCTAAGAAAAAAAAACTGCCTGCCTTGCTTCGCTCTGGCTGTTTATAATAGCACAAGGAGCTTGTGCTCATTTCACACTGTCACGTAAATAGAATACAAATAAATCCTTGCACTGTCCCGTCCAGAGAATTAAAGCAGTGGTGTGAGATGTTTGGTGTGTTTTTCCTGAGATGATGTTAGTAAAGTCTGATTACAGTGTTTTGACATCAGGAAGAGGGTCATTAACCATCCCACCATCTGCCAAGCTGCACACAGGCTATATATAACACTGACCAGGGAATCTCCTGGATCAGCAAGATATAGAGCTTATTGTTTGTAAGAAGTGGAGCATCGTGCTGCTATTTTATTTTATAACCGAGAAGACAGACAGACATTTACAACCAAGCAGAAAGATCCAGAACACATATTAAAAGATTTAAGTAAAAGCTCAAGAATTCATCATCATTATCATAATTGTCATTTGCTGCACACCATAATTTTTACCTTTGTATTACTCATATAGGCTGCATTTCCTATAAGACACTATAAGTAGCTAACTTGTTAGTGAAGCTTATTTCCCAGGCCGTGCAGGGCAGGATGCAGTGTAATTATGTATCACTTAATTAATGCATGATGGCCTTTCTGTGTACTTAGATAGCCCAGCTTTACCAGCAGGGTTGGAAAGCAGATATCTGCAAATGCTCTCATTTTAGAAGGGCTTTTCAAGGGGCTGTGTGATTCTATTTTTGGCAGTTGCAGATACTTGACCAACTCGTTAGCATGCAACTGTCTAAGAACTTCCAAGAAGTTTTTCTTAAACATTTTGAGAGAAACTAGGAATAAAGTTCTGATCAGGCTACTTTAGTTGGTTTTGTGTTGATTTCCTGATGCACTTCCTTGACGAAATTGCTAAATATATGTTCATCATTATTATTGGAAACCTTAACCCTCAGTATATGTGGAATGGTATGTTTGCCCGTGTAGAGCAGAACTGCTGTACTCTGACTAAAACAAATGAGTTGCAAGTCTAACAAGACTTTGCTAATGTTTTTTCTTATTATTTCCAAGTTACAGAGGAAATTGTTAACAAACTGTGGACCTATATAATAAAGCATTACCAACATTAGACATATAACAACTTTAGGAAAGTAACTACAGAGGTATGTGGCATGATCAGATAATCCATTTAAGGTTGAGAGTAACTTTTTTTTAAATTAAAGAAAGGACAAATAATTACACTCTGTCGATCGTGGTGTCACATTTGTCTTTTCATAGTGCCTCAAAATGATCTTGAAAAGACTTTTGCTCTTTTACTTGAGTAGATTTTAATAAAAGAAATATTTCCTCTACTTCTGCTTAAAGTCATATTAGCAGTACTTCACCTGGAATAGTTGTAGTACTCTTCCACTCCTGACCACCTCCCTGTGCCCTCTCCTTCCCTCAGCTGGACAAGAGTGAGGTAGCAACTCTAGGCCTACCCTCCACCACCAGCCATGGAGGCTCTGACAGTAATATCAGTGCGGACGGAGCGGGGGCAGCGTCTGGGGTCATAGCTGGTGCTGCCGAGGGTCCGGGGACCTGCGAGCCACAGCGGACACGTGCTGCTCTGGAGCATCTGCAGCAAAAGATCCTGAAGGTCACAGAGCAGATCCGTGTTGAACAGGAGGCCCGCGACGACAACGTTGCAGAATACCTGAAGTTGGCCCACAATGCAGACAAACAGCAGGCATCCAGAATCAAGCAGGTGTTTGAGAAGAAGAACCAGAAGTCAGCACAGACCATTGCACATTTGCACAAGAAGCTAGAACACTATCACAAGAAGCTAAAGGAAATAGAACAAGTAAGTGAGAAAGTGTGAGTGCAGCTGCTTTGTATCTGTACATGTGATATATTTGTGTTGCTGTTTCTGTACAGTGACTGTTTTAATTATATCATGACTGACTCACACACATGCTCTGTATTTGTATGGAAAGTTGTGTCTAAATAAAGACATGATTCTCATCTGCTAACACTTACTTAAACCAATGCATCATCCTGTGTCTCACCTAATTCTCTACAGGACCTGCTTTCCTCATCTGTCTTCCTACAGTTCTGTCTCTTAAACCTAATCACCTCTCTCCTACTTTTAAGCTCCTCCACTTCTCTGCTTCCTCATTTCTCATCCCTCTCTACAGAATGGACCGGCACGCCAGCCAAAGGATGTCCTGCGGGACATGCAGCAAGGATTAAAGGACGTGGGAGCTAATGTTCGTGCTGGGATAAGTGGTTTTGGAGGTGGAGTAGTTGAAGGGGTTAAAGGTGGTGTGTCTGCCCTCACTCACACAGCTGTCGTCTCCAAGCCGAGAGAGTTTGCCAGTCTTATCAGGAACAAGTTTGGCAGCGCAGATAACATTGCACACCTAAAGGACACACTTGATGAAGGAGTCGGGGGCCACTCTGAAGATACCCCCACGCCTCGTGCGCTGAGTGGAAGTGCCACTCTGGTTTCCAGCCCAAAGTACGGCAGCGACGATGAGTGCTCCAGCGCCACATCTGGCTCTGGAGCAGGCAGTAATTCTGGTGGGGCTGGAGGAGGAGGGGGGATGTTGGGGCCAACAATGGGGAGTCCCAGACTGGATGGGCATCACCACCACCACCACCACATGCACAGTTCCTGGGACTCTCTACTTGAGGGCCTGCAGGAGATTAAAGCCAGCCAGGCACACATGGAGGATGCCATTGAGGACATGAAGGGCCAGCTGCAGAGTGACTATTCCTACATGGCACAGTGCCTGCAAGAAGAGAGATACAGGTAGAGTCCCAGTTATACACAACATGGATGTAAAGCAGTTATCAGTTTAATCAGTACAGTCCTCACAGTAGTTGTAATGCTGACAGTATTCTACATTTTTGTTAACTAAACTTTTGTTGAAAAGACTAAAACCAACAAGTGTTAGTCTGTTAATTAATTCATATTTTCAGCTTTCCCTTCCCTGTCTGTGACTTTATATACTTTCATGGTTTTATTTCCAAAAATAGCTGGGCACTGTAGTTTAAAGCAAACTTTATTTCAACAAGAGCTAAAAGATGATTTGTGTTGGGGACTATTTTCAGCTGTGGATTAATACACATTCAGTGCTTCGGCATGTATTTGATATAGCAGGAACTAAAAATGAACTACAGCAGCCAATGCATCATAAAGAGGGACCGTGACACTCAGTGCAATGGTGTTTAAAGTTGAGTTTCTTTTCTCTGTGATCTTCACCATATCTTTGTGATTTTTTTAAATAGCATTCTTGTGTGTGTTTGCACTGTACACTCAGGTATGAGCGACTTGAAGAGCAGCTGAATGACTTAACCGAGCTGCACCAGAATGAGATGACCAACCTTAAACAGGAACTTGCCAGCATGGAGGAAAAAGTGGCCTACCAGTCATATGAGAGAGCAAGGGATATTCAGGTACAAATCTGCTACATTATTTTCAGGTGTTAAAGAGTCTTGATTAGTGTACACAAGTATGTGACATCATATTGTTCTAACAAAGCCACGTGCACTTCAAAGAAGTCAGAAATGCACAGAAAAAAAAGTCTGTGGTGTGACATAACAAGACTAACACACACTATTCAAGAAAAAGCATCATGATTACTGTTTGTGTGTACATACAGGAGGCTGTGGAGTCATGTCTGACCCGTATCACTAAGCTGGAGCTGCAGCAGCAACAGCAGCAGGTTGTGCAGCTGGAGGGGGTGGAGAACGCCAACGCTCGGGTTCTGCTGGGCAAACTCATCAATGTCATCCTTACGCTCATGGCCGTGCTGCTGGTCTTTGTCTCCACATTGGCCAACTTCATCACCCCGCTGATGAAGACCCGAGCCCGGGTGGCTGCCACCGTCTTGCTGGCCTTGCTGCTGTTCATCTTGTGGAGGCAGTGGGACTTTGTGGAGCTCTGGCTGCTGCCAAGTTGAGCTCCCTGTGAGATGCTCCAGAGGCGACCAGAACAGAGAGTCACCAGCTGCTTTCAACTCAAGTCACTGCCACCTGAAGGATGCAAGGACTGAAACAGTGGGAATATCTGGGAACAGAGCAAGGCACTTAGCTGAGGACAGGACCTGCCTGCAGAGTGTGCTGCGTGTGTTTACAATGAAAAAAGACAAAAGACATCTTTTCATCTCACCCAGATCTATTGGTATTGATGACTGATCGACTACATTACGGTCACCAAAAACTGAGTTTGTTGCGAGACAACTTTGGATCATCTTTTCTAAGTATTTATGATACATGAATTACAAAGATTAGAGCAACTTATGACTATAAAATGCTGATCACGTTTGCTGTAACCTTTAGGTTGAAGTTAAGAGATTTTTTTCATGCATGTCCACTGAGATGCAGATATCTAGATGGCATGAGTTAACATTTCATTAATGACAGAATGACTCTTCTATACCTGCCATTTTGTTATCGAAGACACAGTGCAGATATGTAGTATCTCGCTCAGCGTTCATGGTCTGTTTCTCATCCTGGTGTTGAAGCATTAAGACACATTTTTCTTTTTGTCTTTTTCTTCAAGTCAAATGAACAGTTTCAAAAACATTATCTGCTAATAATTTAGCATAGTAATTCAACTATCTATAATCTTTTGTCTATAAATGTTATTTCATTACCACTATTGTAGAGCTGCTTCTATTCACAGTGTCAAACTAACTGGCATGTCAAATTGTATCAAAGTTTATATCCAGTTTGCAAAAAATAATTATTGCTGTTTTATTAAGCAATGTAAGAAATAAATGATTTCATAAATTAGGATGATCTGGGATATATCCTTATTCTTTACTAGAACTGGAACTTCTGATTAAATGTTTTTCAGCAATTAAGATGTTACACAATTTAAGAGATAAAAATAATGGTACCACTTTCTAATGATAGATCATTTTTAAAGCGTTTATAAGTAAATATCTTTATAAAGCCATTATTTAAAACAAACCAAAAAAGTGTAGAGACATAATCTTAAGAAATGATTTACATTTAATGCCCTCATCAGCAGCATCTCTGTCTGAACCAGATTCAGACTTTTAAATAAGGATTAGAAAAGCTACAGATCCATGTGTTAATCTTGTGGATTATTTCAGTACTACTTTGCTGTATTTTTCTGTTATGAGGCTAAATTTGTGAAAAGATGGTTTGAACATGAATATGGATGTAACCTATAATGTTATAAATGCTGCAGCATGGAGGTACATCCAATGTACTGGACTACATTGTATTTAGAGATGCCTCTATAGCTTTGTCCTCCTCAGCTACATACATGAGTCAAAATATTAGGAACACCACCTTTAACTATGACCGTCAATAATAAACATATAATTGAATGGATCCATTTATGGCAATTTCAAAAACAAACATTTTGAGCTTCATAAACACAGATGTTAAGACAGAAGCGTTGCATTGAATTGTATACAGTTGTAGCTAATAAAGTGGCAGGTGAGTGTACAGTATGTGCCTGTCCACTTCTAAATGCTGACTTGCAAATCAAGTAGTGCTCAAAATGTGGTTTGCGCACCATCTAACATTTTGGCAGGGATTTACTTCCATACTGCAGCTACTGTGATGGCTAAATGAGAAACGGTCATGACTTGTGTGAACCCATGTCAATCCTTTTCTTTTTCATGTTTTACAGAAGCTATATACAAAGACATTTCAGATTTGTTTTGTCTTTTCAATAATTACTGTCAGGCAAAACCCATATGACCATTACATTTATGACAGGTATTCTTACAGTACAAGACAGAACTCAAGGGGATCAGAGCCAGTGGCATGGCCACACCTGACCACTAAAAAGTAAGACATTCATTGTCATTAGATTGTTCCAACTTTTACATGGAGTTCACAAATGTAATTTGCATTTGACTCGTATCAAACAACAGGTTGTCTTGAATAACTAGCAAATTCTAAAGACCTTGATAGAAACAGCAGAGTAGAAAAGAAAATGTATTACAAGCAGAAGAATTCCTGATTTTATCTTAATTTCCTGTCAAGATGCAAGATGAACAGTATATTGCTTTCAGGTGCTCAACTCAAAATGGGTACCCCAACTCTCCCAAAAACACATTCTTTAGTATCACAGCCTGCACTTACACTCAGTTTCCATCTCTGACAGTTAAAACACAAGTGTAGTGTCTCTGATCGGGGCTCAGACTAGAAAACCACCGTTAAATAACAGGGGAGCTGCCATTTAAAGAAGTGGCACAAGCTAAAAGGTGAACAATCATAAAGATTGAAACAACAGTAACAGCCCCTCCTTGAAAGTGCAGCTTTTCATCACTCATCCCAATCAAGTGTCTGAAACTCGTACTTTTTGCTTCTTTCCATGGAAGTGAAACATAGAATGACTACGAAAGAAACTAAAACAAAAACTATTCCTGTTCACTGAGAGCGCACACCCTGGCCTCCAGCCTAAGACACAGTATCCAGTCACAGCAGTACAATTGAGGAGAGGACTTGATGAAATACAAAGGACACAAGGATGAGTATTAAAAGTTTCCATAACTGACAATCCATAAGAATTAAACAATCTGAACAGTGGGCAGCACAGAGTCTGGACTTTAGTCGGTTCTATCACTAGACTTTTCATTTAAGTGGATGATGTTGTACCTTTTAAAATATTTAGTGCATTGAGATCAAATGTTCAGTTACATATAAAACACATCAATGTTATTGTGACAAAATGCTAAAAGCCCAAGAATCTGTGTTGCCTGTGAATGTAAAATGCTGTCTGGTTGTTTTAAAAACATGGACACACACGCTCCCACAGTCTTCAGGCCATAAACCAAATATGCTGATCCCACAGGCTGAGAAACTTGTGGCCTTACTTATGAAAAGGTTATTGATCTCTTTTCTTTTCCATAATCTGAAACCTTCCATTAGCGAACTTTAATGTAATTGCAAAATTACACCACTGTATACCATTATTTTCATTTGGATTATGCTGATAAAATTTTCACCTTGATTCATGATAGTCGATGTCCTACTGCCCTCATTTCTATCATTTTTTTAGCAAATTATTTTCAAGTGACAGCTTAATTTTGGGAAAACAGAGAACCTTTTCATAAACGCAGCCCTAAGTTACTGCGTACAGGTCGACATCACAGCGAGAGGTACCTAGGCAGACCTCTGGGTATAGAAGAGAATATAGGCCTGAGTGTTGCACACTTCCTCCACACTGCAAACCTTCATCTCAGAGTCATTACAGTGGACCCAGAAACCTGTGAACAAAAGGACAAAACAAATTCAACATGCAGCACAACACCGGAACATCATACGCTGATGTGAAACAAGCCCAGCCTTGTCCTCACCTCCTTCTGTATTGTAGCAGTATGCGGTGTAGTGCCCTGAGCCAAAGCCTTTACCGTGATGCATAACTACAGCAGACAGATCATAGGTGTAGCCTCCTCTGTGGACAGAGTGACCTGAGCCAGTGCAGCAGTATGGTTTGATGTTCAGAACCTGGTCAAAGGCCACATGGACACCGATTTTCTCCCTATGGTTCCGCCCTGACCATCTGCTGTACAAGAGGGACTACTTAGTGTCACAAGGATTCATAAGCCTCATGATAAAAATAAACTCTGCTGTACCAAAGGCCTCAGATATCCGCTAGAGCAAACGAGAATTAACAACACTGGATTTCACAATCTGCTTTAAATAGTCACATTATTAATTCTGATGTAAATTTAATTAAGAAAACCAGCCTGGAGAGCAACTTGCCTGAAGCGTTTGAGGTGCAGTCGTAGAACCTGAGGTAAGCGGTAGATCAGAAGCTGCTTACATGCCTCTGACAGAACTAAGGGTTTGTGGGATGATTTTCGTCTTCTTTCTGACAAACCATGAAACAATATGTTCACTAAGTTAATCCATGGATGAATTCAAATGCATATTATTTAGGTGAACACTTTTGTTTAGCAATTCAGTGACAAACTCTGTTGGAATGTTAAACAGTTAAACAGCATTTTGAATGACTTTCATAAAGGCTGCAAGCCTCTTTTTCAAGTCACTGCCTCTTCTAAGAACACTAGGCTAACACTCTTTGAATCAGTGATTGTCCTTAGTCCCTGCTCAATATTGGCTGAACAGCTGGACCGCAGAAGAAGGATGGTGACCTAAACTGCTGGAGGCATGCAGTCTTTGCTTAGCACTGTGTTAAACATGATACTAACTGTTGCAGTGGTTGCAGGCATAGATGCTGCCTTCAAGAGCCTCCATTTCTGTAAACTTGGACAGCATCTCAGTGAGGGTGCAGCTGCGCTGGTAAGCTGTAGAGCCTGAGCCTTTGTCAATGCTGTGATATCGCTCTGGAAATTCCAAAGACAAATCCCAGAATGGCTCAACTGTGTTAGACTTGTGCTTACAGGACAGACACGTTACCTGGGAATAAGAAAAAGAAAAGAAAAAAAAAAACAGCAAGAAGAGAGGACAAACAGGTGAGGACGCCGACTGTGAGCAGTTGTGATGTTTGTTGACACCAAGGCTTAGTCTTCACTTTAGAAATTAAAAACATCACAAAAGCTTCCACTTTTTGCTAAACAAAAAATATCTTTGATTTAGAGTGTTTTAATGGACAAGACCGCTGATGTTCTATGGTTTTGTTATTTTACACAAATCTCATTCAAAGACGAAACCACCAGTGAATTTTGTGATCTCACAATAAAGGCTATGAATCCAGAACCTGGTTTAGTTTATTCTATTCACTATTGCCATCCTAGAACTTTTTAAAACACACCAGTGAGCCACATTGCTGCACCGGCAGGCATGTTTCTTCACAAAAATTGTAAGTTAACCTTTTTTCAAAGTTTCTCGAAGAACTGCAATTCAAATTGAATGTTATGCATAGTGTAGGAAGTCAGTGCAGCATAAACAGAGCAAAGATCATATGTATGTGCAGTTGACTCTGTTACTTCCGTGACTATAAAACAATAGCTCTTTTTTTTGTGAAGAGGACATGTTACCCAGTGCAGAGATGTGGCTCAGCTGTGTGTTCTTAATAGCTTTTGGATAACAACAAACATCTACGGCACAAAGAAATAAACTAAACCAGGCTCTGGGTTCACATGCATTATGGTGTGTATACAAAATTCATTACTGGTTTTAGTCTTAATACAAGATGTTTTGAAAATAAATACTTGAAATAAGTCACTGGACTTATCCTTTAAGTACTACAGTATTAAAATATATTCAAAATATTGCTGAAGCGATAGAGAAATGATCAGTA